TCCTCCTAGATGTGAAGATCCTGATAATCTAATCGGCCACCAGAAGAAAGAGAGATAAAAAGACAATAAAAAGCCTTCTATGACTCCGGTCCTCATTTGAATTATATCTGTCAGCTGTCCTCCAGTGTCCTGCAGTGTAGTCCATCGTATGAATTCCAGGTGATGTTGACGATCTGCTCAGCTACCCACTACATAGTGTCCAAGAATTTTTCATAATGTTCTCCTATCCACACTATCAAATGCTTTCCCATAGTCAAGGAAGTTGATATATAGTGGCGAGTTCCATTCATTTAATTGTTTAACGATGATCTATGATATCGCGATTCGGTCTGTGCACAGTGGACACTTACGGAATTCGGTCTGTTGATCTCGAAGATAGGTGTCTAATGAACCTTCAATTCGCTTCAACAACACTGTTAAAAACCTTTCTGGTAGTGATAATAGTGTGATGCCTGTGTAGTTCTTAAATTTGTTCAGATCTCCTTTCTTTGGTATCTTGATGAAATATCCTTCTTTCCGGTGTGTCAGCATGTATTATTCTTCTTAAATCTTTACGAACTAAACGTGGAGCATGTTTGTAGTTACTTCTATGTTCAACTCCATTACTTCAGGGGGTATGTTGTTTGGTCCTGCTCTCCACATGACCTATAACCATTTTGTTGAAGAAGGATAATTTTGAAAATATTTCACTGTTCTCGTTCCTTTTTTTCAGTTCGTGTTGTCACATGAAATCTTTATACCTGGTATTGTGCACAACAACTTTAGCATTTACGTAACTTACCAAAATGCTCAGGTCATTTTCTCGAGCACTTCTCTACGTCCAACTCCACCCTCTCATAAAACTGACCTTTATCATCCTCTCCCCTTCCATTCGTGTGCACATTGTACTAAACAGAATTCGTTGTGATCCCCTGCTCGTTTGTTCTGAATAGTGCTTGAATGATCCTGGATACAGCTGGTGTTCATCCTATAAGTGATCTTCGTGCTTCTTTGGATAGCATTAGTGCAACTCCTTTTGTGAGAGATATTTCTTTCTTCATCGCCAGAATACATCATCCCTCCCGAATCCAATCTTTTACATTCAGCTTGGGTTCAATGAAGATGTCCACCCTGTAGAAAACAACTTTGCTAAAAAACGCCAACCAGAATAAACAATTTCAACCACTTAAACTCTGTCCTCTGAGTTCAAGAAAGATTTATGTCCCTCCTAACAACCAAAGCAACAATTAATGTAGGTACATGAAATGTTTGGACAGTGTAGAAGACCACGAGGACCAAACAAATAGCAATGGAGATGACAAGATACAACTTGACAGTGCTCAGAATAAGTGAAATCAGTTGGAGCCAAAGTTGACAGAAAAGGATAGATTCCGAAGAGATGCTGCTGTACTTTGGTCATGAAAAAGAAAAATGAATAGTTCCTCTGATGTTATCCAAAGAAGCACGAAATGCACTCATAGGATGGGAAGTTCATGGACCCAGAACCATCAAAGCATCCTTCAGAACAAAGTATGAGGGAATCACAATGAATGTTATCCAATGTTATCCACTCACCAATGATAGCAACGACGACGATAAAAATCATGAAGCTGAGATGGCTTCAGATCACCATTTGGTTGTAGCCAAGATGAAACTGACGCTAAATACACTAGTCCTTTGACATATTGATAAACTCAACCAATGCAAGGTAATTCTCAACAAAAGGTTACAAGACTTACAAGATCTACTGAATGAAGAGAAGACTAATATGTAGGGTGGCCGGAAAGGAATAAAAGAAAAACTAACTTCGACGTGTCAGGAGGTGCTGGACATCAACCACCATCATCAAAAATAATGGATTCCATTGAAACCCTAGACAGAGTTCAATAAAGAAAGAACAAAAAACAGCAATTAACAACAGTCGAACAAGAAGTGAGAGAGTCAAGGAACACCCCGAATACACAAACGCAAACAAGCAAGTGAAGAAGATCATTAGAGCCGACAAGTAGAAATAAGTGGAAGTGCTAAGACAGCGGAAAAATCTGGAAAAGAAGAAAGTATGAAACAACTCTATGACACAATGAATAAACTGGTGAGGAAATATAGTAAACCAGAGATACTGGTCAGTGATAAAGAAGGTAAGTCAGTCACTGAGATTCAAGAACCGAGGAACTCCTGAATATACCGACTCCACTGAATTCGCCGGATATCGAAGCAGCACCTACAGAGCTCTTTATAGATATCACTCCGCCTAAGATCGAAGAAATCACTTGCGATCATTAAACAAATCAGGAGTGGTAAGGAAATAGGACTTGAAAATATACCAACTGAATCATTGAAGTCACACACAGAAGTAACTGCAAGTATGCTCAACGCTCAATTCAGGAATATTTAGGAGAGCGAAGAAGTGTTAATTGCTTGAAAGAAGGATAGCTCATCAAGATACCAAAGAACGGAGATCTGAATAAATGTGAGAACTACATAGATATCACACTATCATCACTACCAGGAAAAGTTTTCAACAGTGTTCCTGAACCGAATGAAGGATTCTGTATACGTCGAACTTCAAGATCAACAGACCGAATGTCGACTGTGCACAGATCAAATCGCGTCAAGGTAATTTACTATATGCAGCTGAAAATTAGAGTGCTACGACAACAATTAGTACACGTATTTATAAAGTATTGTCTACATAAGACAATCAATGTTCGTTGACTGGATAACTAGATTCTAAATGAAGTGGATATTACAAAAAGACGTTGGAAGTGAATATGGAAAACATTACGGAAATCATCAAACTGTATCATGACGCAAGCTCTAACTTGATATTTTGAAGAAGAACAGAAAAAAGGAAAACCAAAGAACACACTGTGTTGAGTATTGGAAGCAGACATGAAAACGATGAATTTCAACTGGAAACAACGGGGAAGTATTTCTTAAGTGAGTGTTGAATAAAAAATGCTGATGAATGACCCATGCTCCTCCATGATGAGTAACATCCCTAAATAAATAGTAAGTATTAATTGCTAATTTCAATCTACATAACAACAAACATTACTGTTGGGGACGTTAGATCCCCAGAACTCACTTGGGAATGGACCTAATTTTGTAATTTATTTAGAAATTTTGAATTTCTTTGTTTTCGCGCCAAAGGCGCTCTTGTCACCTTCATGTCGTAGTTCCTACTGGGAAATATCTTAAATGATCTTGATCTGTTGCGTCTTTTAGTATCCTATTTGATAAATCTCCCGAAGAACTGTTTGGCACTGCATATATACGTTTTGAATTGTGTTTGTTTTTACCGCTCGTTTCTGACTGCTTGTAGAACAGACTTCCCCATTCCAAGTTTAAACTTCTCCCTTTAGTTCGAGGGGCTGTGGCGCATCATACTGCTAGCTTACTGGTCTTTGGTCAGTGAGTCTTTGTTCTCGTTCGCCGATTAAGTGAACTTGTGATAGCCTTAAACCTAACAATTACTCAATACTTCTAAGAATCATTGAATGAATCAAAAATTAAATAGTCACATATAATTCTATCTTATTCATCAACATATTTCTTTTAAATTTATAAAACTACATCAAACCATAACACAATATCGATGAGATCAATTAAACATGTTACATCTCAATGTAATACACTTCTGTATGACGAAGAATTTGTCTTTTTGTTTATTTAGAAAGTTTAGCACTTAAATGGACCATGTGATAAGACTGAAAAATTCTTCATAACACATTTACATAAAAATCAATTAGTAACAACGTAAACACTTACGTTATCATAATTCACTTTAATATTCATTTTTCGACTTTCATTAAATATAAGATAATACCTTTTTCTGGTTAGGGTTTTATTTTTAGCAAGTTAGTTTTTTTTTACTAGGATAGAGTCGTTAACCCCATGCTCAACCCTCCTCCTTTATCAGGGCTTAGAACTGGCAGTAGAGCCAAAGGGCCTCCAGACGGAGTTATAAGACAATATATGATAGAAATAACTTCACTTGGAGTCTCTCTAGGGTTACTGCCAATTCTAAGCTCAGATAAACGAAAAGGGTTGGGTATGAAGTTAGCGACCCTATCCCAGTAGAAAAACTAACTCGTTAGAAAATAAAACTCTAACCGGGGAAAATAAAAGTGAATAGAAATGATAAATATGTCACAGAAAACATTTGAGAAAAAACCCTGATCGATATGTTAGATAGTTCTCTTAGATTCATATATATTAAGTACTATTTTCAATCAAGTGGTTACATATGGTTACTATGACAACTTAGAAATACTAATGACATAGTATTTATCAAGACTCATTGAATATGTAGTAATGATATAGTCAATGATAATAGTATTCAATCATCGGTAGATTGATAGATGGAATAATAAATAATATCCATCTTACATTTATTGTTGATAAGATCAGTTGTTGTTGTGTTTGTTTTTTTTTACTTAATAAGTCGTGTAGGTTGAACGCTATATACGATTCCTAAGCTATTCCCGAAACCCGCAAACTAGAACTACACAGCGACTTGAACTCCAGAGAGAAGACACAAGTATGAGAGAAAACACTTTATCCCAAGGTTCATTTTGGTACAGAAAATCAAGGGTATTTATAGATGTTGGCGTCTGTTAAATCAACATCATATTTCAGCCAATCCGTTAACGTCATATTATGCTACCGACCAAGGGTAGCACGCCACACTGGAATTCTCGAACGTTCCATCATACTCTGATTGGCTAGGGCCCTTCGGCTCCTTTTTGGGCCTCTGGAGGCTCCTTTGAAGTTCTCCGGAAGCCGACCCAACATTACTAAGAAACAATCAACCCGCTATTAATGTGTTCAGCCCAGAAAAGGTGTCAGAATCAATATCGAATGAGAATTAAAAAAATGATATTTTTGTGAGTTTTTTTTATTATCTTCAGTAAATTTATTAAGTAGTAAATGGAATCTTATTAGAAATGAAGTCTGTTTTTGAATTGTTTAAACCAAAACGAAATGAAACGTTTTCTTCTTCTTCTTCAATACAATGTTTATGCAGCGAAAGATACTCCATCATCCGATTTACGAATCATCCATATTGAAATACCCAAATAGGCACCTTGAAGAATAGCTGTGATAAAACATAAAGCTATTAATATAGTTGAATAACTTTGTGCAAAGCCAGTTACTTCTTCAATACAACCCTGTAAATATAAGAAAAAAAAAGCTTAAAAGAAATTTGATCAATTATATGTAGGTAATAAAACTGATTAGACAAAAGAACTAGACATTGTGTGGTGTGTGCTACTTATATTGATATATGTATTATATGATGTGAGTCAGGAATGTAATGTCTGGCAGCAGAAGATTGGGAAGACCAAGAAAATAAGAAACGGGGATAGAAAGCAATTAGTATAGAAATGCAAGAACAATGAAGTCAGAGACAATTATTGAACATTTTGCTAATTGGGTATTATAGTATGGTTTTTCTATTTTACCAAGTAACTCTACGGTGTCGTCCTCACCAGTGTTCTTCTTCACTACAATTGTTCTTCTTGAAATGTTGAAGAAAACTCAAAGTGTTAGATGTTATGATCTTCTGAATAAGAAATAACTATCTGACTTCAATATTAGAGTCTGATCTATTTCAATGTAACTCACTAAACTGATCACTAAGAAGGAAATACGACTGGGTTGAATACGGTATGCCATAACGTAGTCAAAGCAAACAGCTATTGAATAATGAATCAAATGATAAACACTTTGATAAAATGTTGTCCCATAGAAACTGTATTTTAGCTCCATGGTATTATTATTATCGTTTCACTAAGAAAGACATTTATTTTACCATACTACTGTAGTGGGGACAATCAAATGTATTCGAATGCAAAATTATAGAATGTTTTAGTAAGATCTAAGAACCATACAGTAAATACTTCATTTGTGAAATATCAGTCAATCATCTCAGACTTCATTGTTCTTTCGTTTCCATACCAATCATTCTCATTCTCTTTTGTTTGATCTTCTTAACTTTCTACCTCCAGGTATATCAATCTCGATTGATGATACATACTACTTTTATATGTTAGTCAAAAGCTCAATCATGGAGCATCTAATCAATTCCTGTAACTCCGAGTCCTCAGAAGCCCCCTTTAGTATTGTACATTGTCAGAAAAGTAGGATTAATTAACACTTTTCTATCTGACTATAGAACACTATTGGAGCGAATAAAAATTTCTCCACTGAATTACCTTCTCTCTTCTTCAATAAAAATGAAAATCGAAAACACTAACAAAGAACATCTAACCATAGGTAAGTTGAAATCATTTGATATGATTCCTAAAACTGAATTTCGTATAAAAATAGATTATAAAGACATATAAAAGATGACTGAATACATAACGTATCGATGAGACCTATTGAAGTGTCGTTAAAAATAGTTGATTGCGACATATTCAATGGTGATGAGTTCGTACGCCAGTCCGAAGGTCCTGGGTTCAAGTCCCGTGAGCGGGATCGTGAGTACTCATTACTGAGGAGTCTCACAATAGGACGAAACAGCCATAAAGTGCTTCCAGGTTTTCAATAATGGTCTCAATCAAAAATACTTTTAAAAAAAACAAACTTAAAAGATGTTACAGTACAGTAAAATTACTATAAGTTTAAACAAGGACACCTTAATAATTCGTCAACTTTCAGATTCACTTATATGTGTAAGGTTGAATGATAATTGTGTTAGATAAATATGAGAAAGAAGATTTAATGCTGAATTTATTCTGTTTGATATGAATTTACTTTAACAAGAACAGATCACAATCATATTAAGGCTAATTTCAATTCATATGAGATGTAATAAGGATTCGATATTAAACATAACTAGAACTAAACACTAAATTTCACTTGCTTCAATATCTGAGCCTAACTGTTCCAACCATTTGGATATTTCAACAAGATCTCTTTTTGCTTGTTTGTTTTAATACATCATTATGACTATTAATCTCATAGTCTGTTCAGGTGTGTTTGCGAAACATTTACGAAATTTCGCTTTACAACTTACAAAAGATCCTAATCAAAGACATCTTGGTTGCTGGTAATCTATAACGAAAAGAACATACATTATTCAGATGTCGAATAATTGGACTGCTAACATGCAACTGGAGACCACTCAATATTTATCGGATGGATCGATCAAGAATTAAGAAATCGAAACTTGCTGAAATATTTTTTCCTATTGTGGGACTCCTCAGCAGTGCACATCCACGACCTCGCCCCCTGCGAGATTCGAACCCAGTGCTTTCAGGTTTTCCATGGTGTTCTAGCTTAAACTGACTCATGATCTTAACCATTGAAATTACTATAATATCCACAAAACCCATCTGAAATACTTTGTGTTGAGAATTCTATATTGTAACAAAATTATAATATCGAATAAAGTCACTAATAATACATCCATACATACATAAAACAGACAGTAAACTAACAAGTATATTTTAATCTAATTTAGACAACTAGCCATAAACGTTTTATTCGGTTAACAATTATATTCACATTGGATACTTGTATTAGTCGAATTCAGTCAGTATGCAAATATCTTTTTCTTTTATCATGTTTCATTCTCTGAGCTGGATAGTTTAGTTGTGGAGCTTTTACTGAACTTTTTAACGTCATCAGTATAAATTTCACTAAAGTAATCCATTTGAAGTACAACTCTTCTCCGTTATATCAACATATAAGCATTCACAAAATCACTCATTGATCACTCTTGAATACATTCGAACTGAAGAGAACTCATGGTATAATGAAAATAGAGTTTGAGAATTTTCAATATTATGAGAAACTATATTTAAGTTACTGGTATATAACAAGTTTACGTTTTGTAAACATGAATATTCAACTCTATATGAACGGGTCCTTTTAAGAATTCGGTTTAAATAAGTGATAGTTTTTCCAGTTAATTATTACCTACTAATTAATTGACTTATAATCAGTGACTAACTAATACGGGATCGCCCCCAAATGCCGTGGTACGCCCGAGAGTGGGGAGAGTCCGCTCTCCCTCTCGAAATGCTCTAACATGGCCACGAGTATATAGCCTCTACCAGGAAAGTCCTACTCACTGCCTTCTCGTGGCACTACTGTTGTTTACGAAATTGAGAGGACGAAGAGCGAATGTCCGGCGCATTAACCGGGTTGTTGGACATGGAGAGTACACCTAGAGGGGTTGGAAAACTCTGATTCTAAACCAATGGTGAACATAAGCTTCAGTATCTTGAAGGAACCAACGGCGTATGAACCAATCGTTGGTCACCGGCTACCATGGAACTGTATCTCCTTACGTTGTTCCACTGCCTTGTGGATCAGACCTTCAGGTCGAAGGCTCCGGATGTGACCTCCTAAGAAAACCACCTGCGTCGGTTTGGGCACCCGGGCAGTTTCACAGCCCTCACACATATCGAATGAGATTTGTGTGGCATATATATATATATATATATATATATATATATATATATATATATAATACCATTCATATAAATGCCATGATAGAATGTCTACTAAAAATATTCATACAGATCGTATTATTATTTGATTTTCTACTGCTAATCATCAAAGTAATCAGAAGTCGAAATACAGAACAGTGTCTTGAACATTTGTACAGTCGGTAGAAAATAGAGGGTACAATTGTGTTCTAGCTTCAATTGACTTACTATGATATTCACAAAACCCGTTCTAATACTAATCAACATATACTCAATAATGAATGGATTCAACAGGTATTTCATCGAGTTCTACTAAGAAACAGTAACCAGTAAATTTCAATTGGGTCAATTGTGAGATAGTAACTAACTAAAGACAATGGTGGATGTGTCGCTGAATTTCGTGGATTAATTGATGTTAGATATTAACACCGTTAGATACCGGCTCAGTAGTCTAGAGGCTAAGCGTTCTCATGTGAGACCGATAGGACCTGGTTTCGAATCTCGTGAAGTTGGATCGTGGATATGCACTATTGAGGAGTTCCACCAACAAAATTCATTATATTATCTAAACGAAATACCAAATCAAACTTATATTCCAATAGATATGACTTTATAACTCAGTATTTTATCTGATATTCAACATATGACTGATGAATACTTTACATGGTAAGATTCAACCTATAGTTTATTGATTGTCGATGCTGATACAGATCTTTGTAAATTAGGTTAAAAGTTAACAATAACTCAAGCTATGTACTTCGTATGCACAATTGAAGGAATTTTAAACAGATAATGATAAAAAAGATCGATGAATCTATGGAACCATCATAGTATATATGTCATGGAACATAACTGGTAAATATTTATTTACTTACTGTTGCATAGGTCAATTCACCAACTCTACAAGACGGTGGTATCTTCATGTTATACGTTTTAAAATCTCTGTATGAATTAGCTCCACAACAATAGAACTATAATAATAAAAACAATCATTTTTTTTATATTCAACTATAACTTACAGTAGTATGTAACTTATCGAATTCCGATGAATATTGAGTTTGATTATAACTTGAAATAGAACTCAATAATGATTGTTGAGCATCTGTTTTATACTATAAAATGATCTATTAGAGTATAATTGTATTCATCAACTAACTTTATCTTGAGTTGCTGCTGCTGCAATACCAATACATATATTAACCAATGTTGCTATACCTAAACTAATCATATGCTAAATATTAAAGAGGAAAATGATTACATAACATATATATATAGATATATTTACCACAAGAGCAATAATTTTCATTTTTTTCCATAAACCAAAAAATCCAACAGCTGCAGCTATCATACCAAGTAACCCAGTAAATATAACCGTTCCATATATTGCTGGTGGTGCTAATTGTAATATTGTACCATATTTAAGTAATGTATCTAAGGCACTGATACCTAAGGCAAACATAATAAAGCTAAATACCTAAAAAAATGATAAGCAAAAAAAGCAAAAACAATAAACTACTTACTACAAATAAACTATTGATTACAATGAATATTTTTGTCCATAATTCCGGTGTAAATGAAAGTTTGTCCATATTTTATTCTTCCTTAACTATCTAATAACAAAAAAAAAGAAAAAAAAGTGTTTATTTTTTTCGAATTTTTGATAATGAAATAATTCTTGTTGCTAACCAATTTATGTTTTACAATCAACAGAAAAAAAAAACAAACAAACGAACCAACAACCAATAATGATTCATTTTATATATAATACAATCCATTCAAGTGTGTATTACATATTGATTTAGAACATTTATGCACATTCGAATTATTATTTTACTTTCTATTCATGGATATCTGTTGTCAAGTCAATTATTTTGTTTGAAAAGAAAAAAAAAATTAAGGAAACAATTATGTTGTAGCACAAAGAAGAACAGGAAAAAAAACCAAAACAAAAAAAGAACAAAAAAATTGATCATCTTTAGCCTACACAATAGAATATAATAAAACAGTTACTATGCATAAAGGTAATTCATTCATTATACGTCAATCAGATATGGTTTCTTTCTATTTATGTATATGTCTGTAAGTAAACGCATACTTTTCTTTATGATGATTATGCCTATTGAGAATTAAAAAAAAAAGGAATTTTATTAGATTTTTGTATTTAACTAACAATAACATCAATCACATGTATAATGTCAATCTAAAAGTTAATAATCTCTACAATCTCATATTGATAATTATCATGTGATCACTAGTCACTGGATTCGTGAAGGAATTCTTGGAGTTCTAGTGAGAAACTATAACCAGTAAAACTAATCTGTGTCGAGTAGAGACAGGTAACTACCTCTGTAAAATGGTAGACGGTCAACTATTTTCATAGATTGGTTGAAATTAGAAGTTAAGCGAGTGAACGAGAGACCGATAGGTCCTGGATTCGAATCTTACGTGGCGAGATCGTGGATGCTTACTGCTGAGGAATCCCATATTAAGACGAAGCGGCCATCCAGATGTTTCAGGCTTTCAATGATAGTCTAACAATAATCGGTTCCTGATCTCATTCAAAAAATCACAATATAATTTTACTCTTTTTTAAAGCATTCCCAATTATAAACCTTGGTACTGTTTATTATACGTGTAGAGTTCAGTATCAGTTGTTATAATTTGTAACAAGCTACCATGAAAATAAGTATATCACTTTATGTACTATAATCAATTTGGAGTCAGATAATAACTATTGTTTAAAGTCATGAAGCAGGTCACTAGTTATCATATGACCAATATCAGTATGAAGTTGAGGAGATCATTAAGCTTTTGTTTGAGATCATGAGCCTATTGATGTTAGATCACCATTGAAAACCTGGAAGCACTGGACGGCCGTTATTAGTGGTAATCGTTGTTAATGTAATTCGTTCCATTATAATCGTCATCATAGTTGTCCAATGTATCCCATACTTCCCCACGGATGTTGACGTCTTCATGATCGAGTCGATCACTAGGAGAATGAGAAAGGGTGAGGGTAAGCAACCTTGCCTGACACCGATCTGTACTTCGAACTAGTCTATCAGCTATCTTTATACACACTTTTGTAGTTTAATCCATCATAACAATTCCGTATGATATTGACTATCTTCTCAGGCACGCCATATTGTCGAAGAAGATTCCATAGTGCTGTCCTATCCACTCTATCAAATGCTTTCTCATAGTTAATGAAGTAAATTTAGAGTGATGAATTCCATTCAATTGATTATTCCACAATGATCCGTAGCGTTGCGATTTGGTCGATCCTCTCGGGGATCAGTCTGTTGATTTCGAAGTTGGGCGTCTACGGAGTCCTTTATTCTTTGTAACAACACCCTGTTGAAGACTTTTACTGGTATTGAGGGAGGAGAGTGATGCCTCTGTAGTTGTCGCACTTACTAAATCGCCTTTCTTTGATATCTTGTTCAGGCGTTCTTCTTTCCAGTCTGTTGGTACTTGTTCTTCGTACCAAATCTTGCTGAAAACAGTTGTAAGCGGCAGAAGATAAATCATATTATTCTACCTTAATTGTCGATTTTGCATTTGTAGTGTCGGTTGACATGTTAAGTCAATATACCTTATTCTCACTTTCGGAGAGGCCAATCTACTCATTCTATTTGAATTACATTTTAACCTTGTTAATTATCCACTTACCAATCTTGACTGTTTTTATACGAGCGCATATGTGTGTACATTTCTTATCCTATTCATCACATGTCTGTAACTTATTTTCGTGTGAATGTAAATATTGATTAACGCCTGATAAAATGGAGTTGGCTTACACGCCATCTCCACTGCACGTCGTTTTGCTTCGCTCTATTCCATTCGCTTCATATTACAAAATATATGTATTCAAAAGTCCATTCTCGTTAATTCCGTTAATTACTCAATGCCAATTAAGTCGATAAAGATATACGAGAATCGTCAGGATATATATATATATATATATTTCGACAACAAACATTCATACGATCTACTTGGAGCCAGATCTCGAGCCACTAAAGTGGAGAGTCCGTCGACAAACATCATCTGATCTAAATGACGACAAAATAAAGGACCTCAACAAACATGAATCAAATTCATGAAGAGGATTAGTTATATCAGATGTGAATGAATCATTAACATTCTTATCTACGCCATTTATTGAATCAACTTGGGAAGAATTCATGAATATGAATAAACATATTTTCAGAGCACTGATCACTCTCACTGGCATCATGACAATAGTTAGTAAGACAAAGTTAAAAAAAGGTAAAATGGACATTAAAAGTCTGAATGTTACTAAATTGAAAAGATGAAAAAATTCAGTTATAGTTTCAATCCATCTGATGCTGCATTTGTGTAACATATGAACTAATTTTTTATTGAATAATTCACTATCAAGTTGTAAACCGACACTGATTTCTTAGTGATGTTTATGTTTATACTTACATTTTCCGATTCAATATGTATACTGAAAGCTTGTGGTTTACAACATCTATCTAAATTCGGTTGTTTGGAAATAAAATGAAAATGAGTCATCAAGTATAATGTTTTACACATGTATATCTTAAATCCGCATGCATATCTTCTAAGGTTACTGCCGGTCCCAGGTCCAAATAAAGGAGGTAGGTTGGGCATGAGGTCAGCAACTCCATCATATAGAAAACAACTTTGCTAAAACAACACTAACCAGAATAAACAAATTAAACCATCCAAACTCTGTCTTCTTAGCTGAAGGATCCTCATCTAGTAGAATTATGACACCTCATGGTGAAAACCAATATTCTTCGAAAGTCCGATGCTTCTTCAAACAACCACAATAACAATTAATATAGAAAGTAAGTAAGTATTGTTAATCGTATATTTTTTCATTATCAGCATCTTAATACTTTTGATGGAGTTTCGTTCTCTGAAATGGATGGTTTAGTAGTGGACCTTTCATCGTTCGTCTGAATGATATCATCAGCACAAACTTCAGGTAGAGGCTTGTCCTGTACGACTCGATGTTGATTGGTTCTTGTTGACCCTAAACAGGTCATTGTTTTAGTTGCATTTCCGATTGATTTGATTTTTATTCCTATATTTGTCCATAATTTTCCTTCTCCAACATCTTAATTTACATATAACTATCATAAAAACATCAACCTTAGATATGTCGACCATATTTCGAAGTGAAATGTTTCAGTAGAATATAAGTTTAGACTAGTGCTCTATCATCTAATCTGATGTTTGTTCACAATAGGTTAACACATTCAAGCTATTGCTGAAGTCAAACCTAAGGCTAACAGACACTTATTACATTTTTTTTATTTTTCATTTTCAACTAGAATCAACTATCAAAGTTTCTTTGCTTTGTTATAACAATTCTTTAATTGATCAGTTAGTTTCCTGTTGAGGATTATTATACTGACTGAAATCATGAGTCAATTGAAGTTAAACCACCATGGAAAGCCTGGAGGCGCTGGACAGCCGTTTCGTCCTCGTATGGAACCCAGTGCTTCCAGGTTTTCCATAGTGGTCTAGTTTCGATTGACTCATGATTTCAATTAGTGAAATTTCTAAAAAATCTCCACAAAACCCCTTCTGATAATAATCATCTGTTCACTAGTGACTGACTTCAAGAGATACTTCTGGAGTTCTAGTGAGAAGCCGTCACCAGTGGAGTTCAACCAGGTCTGTTGTGAGATATCAACTCACTGAAGACAATGGTGTATGGTGGCACAAATTCGTGGATTGGTTGAAGTTAGACATTAAAGCCATTGGATGCCGGCTGGCTTAGTGGTCTAGTTGATCGAATGCCTGGCTCGAGACTGATAGGTCCTGGGTTCGGGATCGTGAATGCGCCCAGCCGAGGAGTGCCATATTAGGACGAAACGGCCGTCCAGTGCTTCCAGGTTTTCCATGGTGGTGTAGCTTCAATTGATTCATGATTTTAATCAGTGAAATTTCTAAAAATCTCCAAAAAACCCCTTCTGAGTATTATTATAGTCTTGTACAAATAAATCCTGCAGCAAAATAGTGCGTCATCATAATTATCATTTTTAATGATTTACAAATGGAATTCATTTTTTGATTTCGAAAGTTATTTATAACATCTCAGTTAATCTGTTTGACACTTTTTTTTTGTTTCTAAGTCATACAAATTATCACTAAGTGTTTTGTTTAGTTGATCGATAATTTCATTACGTTTATAGAAAATAGCATGTAAAATTTCATTGGTAATTTACACTTTTCAATGTCATGTATGTCAAGTCTTTCTTAGTTTAGGACGAATCCTATCAGCCAAGTTGCAATGTGGCCACCAATCTAGGTGACTCAACATTGCATGCACTATGTTGTGATAAGATGGTGGTTAGAGGTAGTCAACAGGAAACTCTGGACCTAGGTTTCGTGCTACTTGGCACTCATCAGCGAGGTGTACCTGTAATCTTAAGGTAACAGATACTCCATGACGGATTTGATCTCGTATCACCCAGCTTCACAGTCAGAAACGTAAACACTGAATTATCCGGGCCACGATTGACCTTCTGTAGGATTGAGATGTATTTATAATTGATTGATCACTGGGTATCGATCCATGTCATATATATCAGGTGCTTCTTAGTGTAAGTTGAATCCGTCAGGGAGCATCAGTTCTCTTAAGATTACAGGTACACCTTGCTGACGAGTGCCAAGTAGCACGGAACTTAGTTTCAGCGTTTCCTGTTGATTAACAGCAACCACCATCTTATCGAAACATTTTTTAGGTTACAAGAAATTCATCTGATGAATATAATTTTTTGACAAATTATTGATTTCCATCAAAAACGATTCTTGTAGACTGTTCATTGTAAAGATAATCAATACCACAGATTAATTTATGTTCATTTTAGCTCAATTTTAAATAATATTATAAATAATTCCCGATATTGAAGATAGAATTCCTGCTGTCAGGTGAATATCATCGAATACAATGGTTGATGAATATGCTAACTAGTGAGGTGATTGAATTTGGAAATATTAACAAATGTATGTCGATACAGTCATATAAGTTTGATTAACTCACTCCAAACACATGAAATCTTTATATTATTTTTAGGAAGTAACCATTTTTCAAAGTCAGTTTCGTGATCAAAACTATCAGTCTACCCACTTTTGTTGCTGAGGTTAACTCGACTAATCTAGATTAAGACCTTGACGTGATAAACTGACCGGCTTAACCTTGAGGCTAGTACGTTCAAGTTCGAAGTGGGGTAGAGAGAAAACTACTCTAACATCTGATTAGCTGACAAGCACGCGAGGGAGAGAAGACAAGACAACTGGAACACTACTCGATTTACTCCCAATTCCCATCTGGTTCCCAATTTCAGATCAGTGTATAAAGATAAATAAATAGATAACTAACCCGATCACAATGTACAATAATTAGGAAGATACAATTACGTACAAAATAACACGTTTAAATTACAATAGCTTAGGAATACTAAGAAAGTTTATTCTTTAATTTGACTTAGGAACATCACTAAATCTTGGTAGTACCTTACAGTTTGTTTATAAACACAGGAAAACAATAAATACTGTCGATTAGTTAGTTAGGGATTAACAAACGTGAATATTAATTATCAAATTCTAATAAAAAACTCTACTATCTGTATATTTGCAAAATGTGGAGATTGTAGTAATTTCAACAGTTAAGATCATGAATCAGTTGAAACTAAACCACCATAGAAAACCTCGAGAGATCCAAAAACAGGACCGATCAGTCTCGCGCCTGGCGCTTAACCAACTAGACCACTAAGCCTGGATGCAATGGTGTTAATGTCTAACTTCGATGAATCCATGAAATTGAGCGACACATCCACCATTTTCTTTAGTTAGTAACTATCTCACAATTGACCAGGTTGAACTTTATTGGTTAGTTTCTTAGTAGAACTCGATGAAATACCTGTTGAATCCATTCATTAGTGAGTATTTGTTGATTAGTATCAGAAGAGGTTTATATCATGTGTCAGCTGTAACTGTGTCCCTTGATTTGTGAATTAACTATATGTTACATGTCAAAAACAAATACAAAACATAACTTCATTCATTTTATTGGAAATGTTTGAGGCAACATCAACTAGAAGTCTACTTTTAATTAAAGTTTGTGCTGATTATGTCATTCAAAAGAACGATGAAATCTCTACGAACAAACCGTTCAGCTCAGAGAACAGAACTCCACAAAAATTCATACAACTTCATGACTTATTTATCTAAACATTATTACATATCTGATTCTAATCTGTCCCTTGAGAACAGGGGTAAATCAGTTTAGAGTTTAATATTTTAAATGATCAACTGTTTTTGAAAGAAATAAACTATCTTTCAGAATTCACTTGATATTGTTTTTACTTGAATCTTCCCATTGATGCTTTAGGACTGAAATTGATCAGTCTCTTATTGGCATATGTGCATACTGTGCGTATGCCTCGATATTGCCTTAATTTACAAGCATCATAAGCAAAGATGGATAGTGGCTAGCAGTGGAATCCAGGACGCGCGTTTCGTCTTGTTTGGGACTCGTCAGCTGGATGTACCTGCATCTCAGAGTTGAGGTTCACTCTGGGACTCGAACTCAGTACCGTTCGCTTCAAACGCCATCGCGTTATCCACTTGACTACTGAGTCCTGATAGGCACTTGCTTGTGCAATGGGGTGAAGTTTAATTCACTTGATATTGTTTTTACTCGAACATCAACTCTGAGATGCAGGTACATCCAGCTGACGAGTCCCAAACAGAACGAAACGCGCTTCCTGGATTCCACTGCTAGCCACTATCCATCCATGGAATCCTCAAGGCCAAAGGAGAAGTGGAAGACCAAAGAACACATTACTCCGAGAAATCAAGACAAATATGCGAACAATCAACAACAACTAGATAGAACTAGAAAATAAGGACCAGGATGGAGTGGATTGGAGAATGCTAGTTGGCGGCTTATGCTCCATTGGGAGTAACAGGCGTATGTAAGTTATATTATTCTACACCAATCTAAGTTCTTTCTCCCTTCAAAATTAATAATCAATATCCATACATTAATAAAATAATGTTTTTTTCTTCCTTTTTTTCTCTTTCAGAAAACAATTAATTTCAGACGAAAGTTGTTCTCTCTTTGTTTACTCATTTCTGTGTGGAAAATCTTTGTTTTTTATTTTCTTCACTGAAATAGTGATGTCATCAAATAGGTTTCAATAACAATATACAATACATATGGTAATGTATTAATGAAAGTATATCTAAATGAATATTGAAATTATGTTACTGATTATTTGATTTAAGTAACATTATAACTCTATAGTCTACTTTAAATTTTCAAGTTAACAGTTTACTATTTTAAGTATAGATAATTCTCTGTATTATAAAATTTTATGTGAGTGAGTTAGTTAGCTACTTAGAATCTTTAGATAAGGTAGTTTTCCATATTAGTTCTAGATTAGAAGATGAAAATGTTAGTATATATTGATTTATGAATGCATTACTAATCAAGATAATCAAATTCATAAGTGAACAAATGTTAAAGAAGTTAATCAGATTTGAAATTCCTGAAATGATACATTCATCACAAACGGTTAGAATATAACTAACGCCCACCCCCCTTCTTCCAGCCAAACAAGTTGGTGAAGCTTAGTAGGCCCTTCTTAATAGAAACAGGCCACATCGAATCACGGCACAACTACCGGGGCTAGAATAGTTGTTTTTGTAATCGATTGAAGTTTACCCTGTAGGAAGCAAACCCGCTCTGCTCCGCTACCGCGGTCGTTTAAAAGAGGGCTGTGGTTTTTGTACTTGTTGTGATTATCCTTGCTTTGGGTAGTTGTTGCACTAAAAAGCATTCTTGGTCTACTTTAACTAAAAGTACTTTGGCTAAAGCTTGTAATTTTTTGCGCAACTTTGTCCTGTGGTACCTTTTTTACTCCTTGACTGAAACTAGTGTTCACATTGTGATCATTTTGTGTTTTAAACCTTTTTAATCAAAATTAACATCAATTGATTCATGATCTCAACCAAAAACTTAACAATCTCCACAACCCCCATACTGATCAAAATTAAAATAGTTGGTAAGACTCATAAATCTGGACAACCAAACTGCTTGTTCCCCTTTTAGGAAGGGATGCAGTGCGAAGATTGTAAAAAGTGGTACCATAAGATGTGTACACGCCTAAGTCCTATGGCATACAAATATGCTCGAAGCCTAACTCACATTGGCTTTGTATGTTCTGCTGTATGGATAAAATGGTACTAATTTAGGAGGCTATGGTCCTATTGGCTTTGGCCTGCAAGAAAAACGATGGCGGTAGCGCTGGTAACACGAGCACTGACGGTGAAGAATGTGTCAATGTAGTAAGTGCTGCTACTGGACCCGCTAAACACCCGACTGCGATTGACGGGAAAGTGAAATCTCCGTTAATATTAACTAGGAGTGAAGTGCCGCTAAATATTGACATCGGCAATCATACACCTCTAGTCGAAATTGAAGACCCGAATAAAACTGTCACCGTTCCAAATAGTCCCGGTGTGGCTGTCCTGACTGGTGATAAATGGACTTCAGAAAAAGAAATGAGAAGAAAAATAGCTGTGGGCAAAACACACACGAAATTGAGCGACACATCCACCATTGTCTTTAGTTTGTTACTATCTCACAATTGACCCGAATGAACTCCACTGGTCACTGCTTCTCACTAGAACTCCGAGATATACCTGTTGAAGCCAGTCCCTAGTAAGTATATGTATATTTATCTAGATGCTTATAAACTTAATTTAATCGTCAGTGAAATAGTACGTTTTCTTATTGAACATATTGTCGCTGAGTTGTTCGATAATCGCTTTAACTTCTTATCTTCTTGTATTCAACTTATCTACCTTGTTATTGTTAACATAAGATTTTGTATTGAAAACTAAACTTCACTACAAATTTCAAAGTCACAGATTACTTATATATGTGAATACAAAATTAACTTGATTATTGACATGATTTGCTTACAAAATTACTTTGGTATCCCTCGAAAAAAAAAACGAAAAAAGAAAAAAAACTGTCTACAATGAACATCTTCAATGTGTAAAAACGAAACGATTCTAAAAAAATTTTTTTTTGGTGATGTAATTGTCATGGCAACAATTGAATGTTACTTTTTTTTGTTTTTCATAAATTAAAAAGGAATGACATTCAGTTTAATTTATATTTGATTTTTATTATGAAGATGAATTTATTCCTTTAATTGATTTACGAAGATTTCTAATTGATACACCTATGAATACAGCATAGATAAATGATGTAGTAAAACAAATTGATGATAATAGTGTTATGTAATATTGTATGTATTCGCTTAATTCATCAAAACACCCCTGGTAGAGAAATTTAAAAAAAAGAAAGAAAAAAGAAAGAAAAGAAAATATAATCAATCATATGGAATTGATCAAAAAGGTAAATGATTATTGTGAAAATCAAAACGTTTCATAATAGTACAATCGATAAAAACAATTTTCAACTAATATTAAAGTTTCACAAGTTGAAATCATGAGTCATTTGAAGATAGACCACCATAGAAAACCTGGAAGCACTGGACGGCCGTTTCATCCTAATATGGGACTCCTCAACAGTGCGCATCCACGATCGTGGATTGGTTGAAGTTAGACATTAACACCGTTGGATGCTGGCCGGTTCAGTGGTCTAGTGGTAAAGTGCTCGCGCACGAAGTCAGTAGGTCCTGGGTTCGAACCCCGCGTAGTGCGAGATCGTGGATGCGGACTGTTGAGGAGTCCCACACTAGGACGAAACGGCTGTTCAGTGCTTCCAGGTTTTCCATGGTGGTCTAACTTCAATCGACTCACGATTTCAACCTGTGAAATTTCTAAAACTCTCCACAAAACCCATTCTGATAATATTAAAGTGTGATAAGTTTTGGCAAAAATCACTTACCTTATAAATAATTAAAAAAGATTGGTTTATACCGGCACTATGACCGGTTTATACTAAATAGGCCAATATTGAGCTGTTCACCTTCTTCATCAAACCTTTGTTTAGCCACTCTGGAAGGTGTGCACGAGCACGAAAATGTGAATTCCTAGAACATCGATCAATATAACTCGCTCCACGGCTGAAGCAGTAGCCATCCGGATGAAGAAACCGGAGCTTTACGTACAGAAGAAATGTATTCAACCACTCCTCCTCCCCTGGCCAACATCAAGGCCAATTAATCAATCGTAATCTTAACTATTGAATGAAATAATTTGACAATGACCTTTCGTAGTCAATTGTGATTGTCCCTGTTATCTGTATTCATAAATCTTTGCATTATTATTATTATTATTATTATTATTATTATTATTATTATTATTATTATTATTATTATTATTATTCGTATTATTGGTTAAACATCATTATTAATCTCCCCTATACATGATTCATTCACTTTGCATTCATCCCTCCGTATTACGTCTTATTTGATCGAATTATTATTTCTCTCTCATCCTATTTGACCCATATTTATTCTGATCGTGGATCTTAAATCTCACTTAACATATACGCAGATTCAAGTTAACATTCTATGTGAATCATATTAACATGAATAATTTTATTGTATTTTGTTTATCACTCCGCCTGTAACTCTCATAGGGTTACTGCCGGTCCCAAGCCCGGGTAAAGGAGGAGGGTTGGGCATGGGGTTAGCGTCCCCATCCCGTAGAAAACTAACTCGCTAAAAAAACGCTTACCAGAAAAAATAATCCGAACCATTTAAACTCTGCCCTGGGAGTTAGAAGGTCTTCATTTAGAAGAATTATGACGCTTCATGGTGAAAGCCGAGTTCCTTCGGAAGCCAAGAGGCCGATGCCCCTTCTAACAACCAGAGCAAAAATTTTTATAGGTACATGGAATGTTCGAACAATGTGGGAAACCGGGAAGACCAGTCAAATAGCATTGGAAATGAGGAGATACAACTTAGCCGTACTGGGAATCAGCGAAACCCACTGGACCCAAGCTGGACAGAAAAGGCTAGCTACGGGAGAGATGCTGCTATACTCCGGTCACGAAGAGAACAATGCTCCACACACTCAGGGAGTCGCTCTTATGCTGTCCAAATTAGCACGAAATGCACTTGTAGGATGGGAATCCCACGGATCCAGAATCATCAAAGCATCATTCAAAACAAAGAAGGAGGGGATCTTAATGAATATTATCCAATGTTATGCACCCACAAATGATAGCAACGACGACATTAAAGATCAGTTCTACGAGCGGCTGCAGTCAATCATTGAGAAATGCCCAAGAAAGGACCTAACTATTCTGATGGGAGATCTAAATGCCAAAGTCGGAATAGACAACACTGGATATGAAGATATTATGGGACGACATGGACTGGGAGAAAGAAACGAAAATGGAGAAATATTTGCAAATCTATGTGCATTCAACAAATTGGTCATAGGAGGCACAATATTTCCACACAAGCGTATACACAAGGCTACATGGATCTCACCGGACCACACTACAGAGAACCAAATAGATCATATTTGCATCAACAAAAAATTCAGAAGGACAATGGAAGATGTGAGAACCAGGAGAGGCGCTGACGTAGCTTCAGATCACCACCTAGTTGTGGCCAATTTAAAACTGAAGCTAAAAAAGAATTGGACAAGTGGACAAACAGCACTACAAAGGTTCAATACAGCCTTCCTTCGAGATACTGACAAACTCAATGAATTCAAGATAGCTCTCAACAATAGGTTCCAAGCCTTACAAGATCTACTGAAAGAAGAAGAAACTAGTATGGAAGACAACTGGAAAGGCATCAAAGACGCATTAACTTCAACGTGTCAAGATGTTCTGGGCCTAAAGACATACCATCATAAGGAATAGATCTCTACAGAAACACTGGACAAGATCAAAGAGAGGAAGAACAAGAAGGCAGCAATAAACAACAGCCGAACACGAGCAGAGAAAGTCCAAGCACAAGCTGAATACATAGAAGCAAACAAACAAGTGAAGAGGAGCATTAGAGCCGACAAGAAGAACTACATGGAAGAACTAGCAACGACGGCAGAAAAAGCTGCTAGAGAAGGAAATATGAAACAGCTTTACGATACAACGAAGAAACTATCAGGGAAATACAGTAAACCAGAAAGACCGGTCAAAGACAAAGAAGGCAAGCCAATCAGCGAAATTCAACAACAGCAGAACAGATGGGTAGAATACTTCGAGGAACTCCTGAATAGGCCGGCTCCAATGAATCCACCGGACATCGAAGCGGCACACACAGATCTTCCCATAGACGTCGACCCACCAACGAAGGAAGAAATCAGAATGGCCGTCAGACAAATCAAGAACGGGAAAGCAGCGGGTCCGGACAACATACCAGCTGAAGCACTGAAGTCAGACATCGAAGCAACTACAAACATGCTTCACCTTCTATTCAAAAAGATTTGGGAAGAGGAACAAGTGCCGATGGACTGGAAACAAGGGCACCTCGTCAAGATTCCAAAGAAAGGAGATCTGAGCAAATGTGAAAACTACAGAGGCATTACACTGCTGTCGATACCAGGGAAGGTCTTCAACAGAGTGTTGCTGAACCGGATGAAAGATGCGGTAGACGCCCAACTTCGAGATCAACAAACTGGATTCCGTAAGGATCGGTCGTGCACAGACCAAATTGCAACACTACGGATCATCATCGAACAATCAGTTGAGTGGAACTCATCACTATACATCAACCTCATTGATTATGAAAAAGCATTCGACAGTGTAGATAGGAGGACATTATGGAAACTTCTTCGACACTACTGATTTCCTGAGAAGATTGTCAACATTATCCGGAACTCATACGACGGACTACAGTGTAAAGTCGTGCATGGCGGACTGCTGACAGATGCATTCCAAGTAAGGACCGGAGACAGACAAGGCTGTTTACTCTCTCCCTTCCTCTTTCTTCTGGTGGTCGACTGGATTATGAAGACCTCGACATCTGAAGGAAAACACGGAATTCAATGGACAGCTCGAAATCAATTAGACGATTTGGACTTCGCAGATGACCTAGCCCTCCTATCGCATACACACGAACAGATTCAGATGAAGACAGCCAGTGTGGCAGCAGTCTTTGCATCAGTAGGCCTCAGTATACACAAAGGGAAAACCAAAGTCCTCAAATTCAAAGCGGAAAACAACAATCCAATCACTCTTGATGGCGAAACTCTGGAAGATGTAGAATCCTTCACATACCTGGGAAGCATCATCGATGAACAAGGAGGTTCAGATGCAGACGTAAAGGCAAGGATTGGCAAAGCAAGGACAGCATTCCTACAGTTAAAGAACATATGGAACTCAAAACAACTTTCAACCAATATCAAAGTGAGAATCTTCAATACCAACGTCAAAGCAGTTCTACTGTATGGAGCTGAAACTTGGAGAACTACAACAACCACCATCAAGAAGGTACAAGTATTTATAAATAGTTGTCTACGCAAGATACTCAACATCCATTGGCCGGATACCATCAGCAATAGCCTTCTGTGGGAGAGAACAAACCAACTTCCAGCTGAAGAAGAAATTAGGAAAAGACGATGGAAATGGATAGGACATACATTACGCAAATCGTCAAACTGCATCACGAGGCAAGCCCTAACTTGGAATCCTGAAGGGAAGCGAAAAAGAGGAAGGCCAAAGAACACATTGCGTCGGATAATAGAAGCAGATATGAAAACGATGAATTACAACTGGACGGAGCTAGAAAGGATTGCCCAGGACAGGGTTGGATGGAGAATACTGGTGAGCGGCCTATGCTCCTTCATGAGGAGTAACAGGCGTAAGTAAGTAAGTAAGTAAATTCACATGCTCTAAACGATGTACTTTGCCCTTAACCTGGCCATTTTTTCGGATTAATAATTTGGATCATTTAATTGTAGAACCTGAAGAGAATTTATCGAAGAGAATATTCTTCGTTCAAATACTAGTCTTTTAATATGACGAAGATCTTTAAACGATTAATATTAAAGTCAGAATCTTCAATACCAACGTCAAGACAGTCACTTCTACTGTATGAAGTTGAAACATGGTGAACTACTACAACCATCATCAAGAAGGTACAAGTATTTATGAATAGTTGTTTACACAGCAATAATCTACTGTAGGAGAGAACAAACCAGCTTCTATTTGAAGAAGAAATTAGGAAAAGTCGATGGAAATGGATAGGACATACATCACGCAAATCATCAAATTGCATCACTATGCAAGCCCTAAATTGTAATGCTGAAGGGAAAAGGAAAAGAGGAAGATTAAAGGATACATTACGTGGGGAAATCGAATTAGATATGAAAAGGATGAATAACAACTGGAAAGAGTCGGAAAAGATTGCCCATGACAGGGTTGGATGGAGAATACTGCTGACCGACCTGTACTCCTCGACGAGGAGTAACAGGCGTAAGTAAGTAAGTAAGTAGGTAAGTAAATAACACTTAATGAAAACCGGTTATTTAAGTTTAATACGATGTTTGATTTATTTTAATCGATTTCAGTAAACTGAAGTTTATAGAAGTTGAGTACTGGCGCACAATAAGCATGATCTTAGGTTTAATACCTTTTTGGTTGATTTCTGACTACTCACTATTATAGGGTTCCATACTAGAACGAAATAGCTGTCTAGTCCTAATCGGTTTTAAGTGATGGTTTAGCTAAGATCATTCAATGATTTAACTTATAGAAAATATTAAATAATTAATGAATCACATCAAAGAGAGATATGAAATCTAAATAAATAGAGAATAACATGAGTTCAAGTTCATTCAAGCTTACAAGTGAAGAAGGTTGTACGAAATGTGAAATTGTTTAAAATATTAGAAACTAATTCCAAATAGTCGATCAACTGAAAGTGGTTTATTCCAGCATTTTTTCCACTGAAGATCTATGTTCACCTCATATTAGTTTAAGTAAAATGCGGATGTTGACTCCAAAAAACGCTAATTTCTCTGCAGAAAATTTGTATTTATCGAATAAAAAACAGCTGACAGTTATTTTGTATTCTTTCTCGCATCGGCTCGGATCACTGGGTAAGTAATAGTGAGGTATTAGGGAATATTGGTAAATCATTTGATGACGTTGTAAATCTTCATCACCTAAGATGGTTGGTCCACGTGTTACGTATGCCTGAACATTGATTACCACGATGCGCAATGCTGACTAGTGTTGGAGACGGTTGGAAGAAAGTTAGGTGAGGCCAAACCAAAACGTGGCATCAGTGCTTGAAGTCACTAAATTCTGCTCTGAACCATGTTGGTAGATAAAGACTACTTAGTTAGGGCTCGCGTGACTACTGTAAACATGACCAGTTACAATGGCTTCTAATTGCTACCAGTGTTGAACGATAACAGAAGTTCAGATATTGTATCTCAGTCTAGATTAAAAATCAATGTCTAAATATCATATCTTTTCTTAGATCTAGAATTTGTTTAGATGTTTTCTTTACTTGGTGTCGTTTATTTGTATCATACCATTGTTATTTAGGACTGGAATTGATCAATCCCTCTCTGATATATGTGCATCCTGTGCGGATTGCCTCGATATAGCCTTATGTCACAAGTTTTTTTAAGCAAAGATGGATAGTGACTGATCAACTGCAGACCTAAATGACAAGTAAAAAACACCAAGTGAATATAACTTCACCCCATTTCACAAGCAGATAGCTATCAGAACTCAGTAGCTAAGTGGATAACGTGATGGCATTTAATGTAAACGATATTGAGTTCGAGTCCCGGAGTGAACATCAACATCTGAGATTCAGGTTCATCCAACTGACGAGTCTCAAATAGAAAAAAATACGCATCCTGGATTTCACTGCTAGCCACTATCCACCTTTGCTTAGATGTTTTCGTTTGTTACACACAACTCAAGTTCTCTTTCATATGAAGTAATGCGTTATATTAGTTTATCATCCGCCGGAACTGGGTAACATATTACATAATGAAAAATCATTCACAATAAGAAGTGAAGAAAACTAATTCTTCGGTTGTTGTTTTTTTTCACTTAAAAACTGATATTTAGCCTTCTTGCTTATCGACTTAACTACTTTAGTGTGAGTTGTTGGGATTTATATTCAAAGCTGAAATATACAGTTTGCATAGTTCATTTGTAATATATTTCACTTAACCTAATGAACAAACTACAACGTTTAGCACCATCTCGATTTTCATTTAAAGTAATTACAATATTGATGTATTCAATTTACGATCCTAATGATTTTTTTTTTCAGTTGAGTTCATGATGTGATTCAATTGACTTGTTACTTGATGAGGGAAGTGATCAAAAGTTGTTTTTTTTGGTGGAGTTTTGTTCTCCACCAAAATCATCTACCTGAGCTACAAATCTTCTCCACCATCTCAGTGATCAAAAGTACTTTTCTTTAAGTATTACACGAAATGTTGGTGTTTATTAAATGGTCCTACTGATGTATTTGCATAGATAGAAAGTTATGGTTCAATTATTTCAGTAGTCATCAATGAATTATGGTAAGTAATCATAAGTATGAAAACTTCATATGATTTCCGGAATACAAATTAGATTCTTATGGAATGATGGACTTCCAAATTATATCCACTAGAGCTGAATAAATGCTAAAACATAAGTTTAAAAGTTCTAATATCATGATCTGTTGAATAATGATTCAATGTTTATGATGATAAAAGTATTATGTATCTAATTATCAGAATTCGAATGTATAGCGGCATTCTACTGTTATGTCAACTTTAGAAAAACATTTTCGACAACTTGAAAGTCAGCTTCGCAAAGTGAATAGATTTATTATAACTTAAATTTATTATTATGCTACATTCTTAACTGTTGTCCAACAGGTGAAACATCCTGTAAATCTCAATACTTTAGATCATAAGTCAATTGAAGCTAGACAACCATGGAAAATATGGGAGCACTGGATGGCCGTTTCGTCCTATTGTGGGACTCCTCAGCAGTGCGCATTCACGAACTGTAAATTCTTAAAGCATATAATGTCAATTTCAACACTTCTTAAGGTTGACGAGGAAATCAGAAAAAAGGCACTATCCATCATAAAACCTTGTTTATATATATGTATATATATAGACAGAGAGAGATTGTAGTAATTTAATAGTTGAATTCACGATTTGAATAAAGTTAGATCACCACTGTAAACCTGGAAGCAACGGACGGCCGTTTCATTTTAATATGAGACTCCACAGTAGTGCACATCCATGAGACCACATACGGGATTCGAACCCAGGACCTTTAATCTTGCGATCGAACTCTCAACCTCTAGACCCCTGAGCTATTATCTAACAATGTTAATGTCTAATTTAAAATAAGCTTCTCATATAAATGCAAAAAAATTAAATAAATACTGACTTACTCTTGCATAAACATACTGACCAACTCTACATGAGAATGGTATTAATACTTTAGCTTTTTTAAAATCAGCATACGAATTAACTCCACAACAGAAAAACTATTAAAAAAAGCAACAACAATGAAACGTTATCTAATATTGAATTAACTTTTCGATGGAGTTTTGCTCTCTGAGCTGTATGGTTTATGTCATGGAGCTTTCATCGTTCTTCTTCTGAACAACATCATCAGCGCAAACTTCTACCTGAAGTATAAGAACGACGAAAGCACCCCAACATAAACCATCCAGTTCAGAGAACAAAACTTTATCAAAATCATCCATCTGAACTACAAATCTTTTTCACCTTTGAATTCACTTACTTTTGTATGTAACTCATCAAATTCATCTGCATATTCATCATTCTTATAATAATATTTAATAGTAGTATCTAATGCTTGTTTAGCATTTATAAAAAACTATAATAAATATTTAATTAGAATTGTATTACAACTAACTTGTTGATCAGTTATCATTGATACAATAGCTATACATAGATTGATGATTGTTGCTATGGACAAACAAATGACATGCTAAAATACAAAAATTTGATTGTATCCAAGTGAAAATTAAAAAAAAAACTTACTAAAAGATATAAAATATTCATTTGTTTCCATAATCCAATAAATCCTAAACATGCTGTTATTAAACCAAGACTTCCTGTAAATATTCCTGTTGGATATATAGCTGGTATTGTATATTGTAATATTAATTTATATTTAAGTAAATTATCCTCGGCTTTAATACTTAAGACAAATAATATAAAACTTGTTACCTAGAATAGAATAGAATAGAAAAGAATAGAATAGAAGTTAGTATAAGATTTTAAAAAGAAAAAAGGAAACACCATGGATAACTGAGAAGTATTGAATGACTGTTTCATTGTGGATGTGTACTACTAAAAAGTTCTATACTAGGATGTAATGGCTGTTCAGTACTTTTAGGTTTTCAATGATGGTCTAACTTTAATTGAATTATGTGAATTCAACTATTAAAATGACTAAAATCTATATAAAACTGCCCCCTCCCTTTCTGATAATAATTAAATATTTCAATGGTCCAGATCATGAATCAATTGAAGCTAGACCACCATTGAAAACATGGAAGCATTGAATGGCCGTTTCATTCTATTGTGAGACTCCTCAGCAGTGCACATCTATGATACCGCCTCAACAGATTCGAACTCAGGACCTATCAGTCTTGTACACAAACAATTAATCATTAAACCACAACTGTCCATTACTTCCAAGCTTTCCATACTGATCTAACTTCAATCAATTCATGATCTCAACTATTAAAATCATTAAAATATTCACAAAAATTCAATATTTACTTACTGCAAGAAAACAATTCAATATAATGAATATAAGGAACCAAAATTTTGATGTCAACTGAAATTTCATCATGGTTTATGATTGAATGATAATGAAATGAGTGAATGTTGTTTTGTTCTTTATTATTATTTTTTTTTCTAAGCTGTTATGTAACAATAGATATGTAACTATGTAATTGATAGAATCATTATGAGGAGAATAATACACTTAAATTATATGATCAAATGTAAAAAGGACTATTTACAAATTACAATTGATGATTGATAATATTCAGACTACACATATACAAAAAATGTATGTTCTTAATGTTCTACTATATATGTGTGTGTATGTGTTCGTGTGTGTGTGTATGTGTGCGTGTGTTTGTATGTGTGTGTGTGTTGGAGAGAGAGAGAGAGAGAGGGAATGTATCGTAATATATCAATTAATTATAAATTTAGTAGTGAATTAAGGCAAAAATAAAAACGAAGAAGAAGAAACAGAAAAAAAACGTTTACCACTTTGTTGTTCACATGGTACTTTCAGTAGGTATGTTACAATAAACCACACACACACACACATACAAAACACAACAAACAATCAAATTGGTTTGCGTAGTTTTGTGTATTCCGTTAAAGTGATTTTTTATTATGAGTTAAAATCAATAATAATTAGCTTAGTAACAGAAGCATTTAAGAAGTATTATTGAATGTTTCAATTAAAAAAAACACACAACATGTTTACTTAATGTATATTTTCAGAGTATTCTATAATGTCATATATTTACTTTCATTTCACAATTACATAATTATTATTAAAGAACTATTGGATAAAAGGGATTAGTAAACATTTTGTAGTGGTTTTGCTTCGTTAATTGATCATAATAGATGTTATAATATAAATTTAAACGCGGTGATTAAAATCAAAGGTGAAAAGAACCGGACAGATCACAAAGCTCATAGGCAAATTTATAGCCAAATTGCATAAGGGTTCAGCAATGCAAAGCAAGGACTAATAATAGGATTTAAGTACATACATTCATGGGGAGGAGGATGAATCATTGAGTGATAGTTATGTAATCAACATTTTACGAAGTTGAGAGGACGAAAGGTGAATGTCTGGCGCTTTAACCAGGTTGGTGGACATGGTGGGTTCACCTAGGGAAGTTGGAAAACCCTGATTCCAAACCAATGGTGCACATGGGCCCAAGTATCCTGAAGGAACAAATGGCGTATGAACCAATCGTTGGTCACCGGCTACCATGAGACTGCATCTCCTTACGTTGCCCCACTGCCTTGTGAATCAGACCTTCAGGTCGATGGTTCAAGATGTGGCCCCATCAGAAAACCACCTGCTTCAGTTTGGGCACCCGAGCGGTATCACAGCCATCACACATGTCAAATGAGATCTGTGTTGCGCATATGTATTTGGTGCCTCCTTGTACCAATATCTATGTGTTGGAATAAAATAAACATTTTAGCTAGAGTCCGTTATGTGATCTAGTAATCACCAATGAAGATAATTTATATCGAATGATTGGTGGCCTACTCGAGTTCGACGAAAATGGTGTGACGAACTAACTAAAGTCAAAGTCACACCTCGTGGTCAGCACCTTACGTAGACTACCCCATTGACGCATCAAGGTATTAGAGATGTTTTGAAGATTGTACAACACAAAGGACGTTATTACAGAAATATATTAGTTAAAGTAGATATAAGCGCAAATAAGAACACCATCGCATGGGCCAACCCATCGAGTATGATTAGCTGATGCGCGTTGGTTATCCTTGATCTTGACATAGATCGATGATATGTTCGATGTTCAGTGACCCGACATCCGGATGATTTAGCTAGGATTCAGTGACATTTCACTGGCCCTACAACGGTACAAAGAAATATGCAAATTTTTACTATTCAAATATGATTGTCTATTAACTAATTTAATAAAAGGGCTTAACCAAAATCGAAAGTGTTTTTAGGATAGTTGTTATAATATATTTCATGTTTATACTATTTAACTTACAAATAATTTCATACTTTTCCATCTGATTTTAAATCGACTATCATAAAATCACACAATAAACATGAAACATTTGATTTATTGATACGAAACTCAACAATACATATATATCTGAATTCCCGAGTAGATATAAGTTAGACCATCAACGATAACCTGTAAGCATTGCACGGCCGTTTCGTTCTACTATGTGACTCATCAGCAATCCGCATCCACGAACCCCCCATGCAGCATTCAAGGCTAGGACCTTCATTCTCTCGCCTGAACGCTGAACCTCTAGACCAATGAACCGGCATCCAAAGATGTTAATGTCTAACTTCAATCGATTCATGATCTTGCGCAAACATTCATCCATTGTCTCAGGTGGATACCTGTCTCTACCCGGCACGGACTATACTACATTTTTTAGGCATTACACTGTTGGATGGCGGATCAACGAGGTCTACAGTTCAGGCGTTCGCGATCCTTGGTTCGAGCTCCGAACGCAAGATCGTACTTGCGAACTGTTAAGGAGTTTCATACTACGACAAAACGACCGTCCAGTACTTCCAGGTTTCTATTAGTGGTCTAGCTTCAATCAATTCATGAATTCAACTAATAAATTCACTAAAATCTCCACAAAACCCCATTCTAATAATAAATATATTCACTATCATTCCATATGTTACATTTAGATAATAGTACAAAGTCTATCACTAATTTATTCAAATAACACCCCCCCAAATCTCTCCTTTTCGGCTATTGTAATGACTTCTGCTCTTATCAGTTGTCATGTTAAATAACCTTGTCTTTGTGCTAAACCAATGACATGTGAACCAACAATAACAGCATTGTGTCAACTCTAATACAGTAACATGCCTCACAGCCTTATCTATCTATCTATATATCCATCTATAGATTGATAGATGTGTGGATAGATAGACAGATAAATCCTTATCAAATTGTGTCTGCACTGAATTGAAATGCTCCGAAATATTCCTATTTTTTCAAAGAAAAAAGATCAATCATCTTTAAGAAAATGTAAAATTTGTTACTTTACTCTTGTGGTTAATATTAAAATATGAATAATTAGTTTATGTTTAAAATAAAATTGTACTGACTAACTCATGCAAATGTCTAGATAGATATACGCTTCAAATATTAGATGAGATTGTGACTTTTGCCATATTACAAGTACCAGTGATTATGATGATGATGATGATGATGATGATGATGATGATGATGATGATGATGATGATGATGATGATGATGATGATGATGATGATGATGATGATGATGATGATGATGATGATGATGATGATGATGATGATGATGATGATGATGATGATGATGATGATGATGATGATGATGATGATGATGATGATGATGATGATGATGATGATGATGATGATGATGATGATGATGATGATGATGATGATGATGATGATGATGATGATGATGATGATGATGATGATGATGATGATGATGATGATGATGATGATGATGATGATGATGATGATGATGATGATGATGATGATGATGATGATGATGATGATGATGATGATGATGATGATGATGATGATGATGATGATGATGATGATGATGATGATGATGATGATGATGATGATGATGATGATGATGATGATGATGATGATGATGATGATGATGATGATGATGATGATGATGATGATGATGATGATGATGATGATGATGATGATGATGATGATGATGATGATGATGATGATGATGATGATGATGATGATGATGATGATGATGATGATGATGATGACGTATATCTCATATGATAATGATGACATATCATAAACATATATGCCATATTACGTTTGTATATTGATTATTTCGGATTAACCCATTCGTACACATTGTTATTTAGAAGCTACATATCAAATGTGGCAAGATTATATTCTATATATTTGTATGAAGATACAAACAATGCGTGAAAATTAAAAAAAAATTGGAAATTTTGGGGTCAGGTATGGATTCAATTTTGATAACAAAGATTGCATTAATGCATGCACGCATGAATGAGACCGTATAAGTCTCGTATAGATTTATATGAATTCATGATATGCTTATACATTTCATGAAGCATTTTGGTTTTACGCTTATATGGGACCGTTACAAACAACATTTCTGTGTGTGTATCAAAGGTGATATTAAAGCAATTGTAAGTTTTGTTCTTTAAATGTTTAAATGGTTTCCATTCACATGTGAGCAGTTTGAAATCGATAAGTATATACTATATCAGTTTAGTGGTTGTGGAGATTGTTAAGTTTTTGATTGAGATCATGAACCAATTGATGTTAGACAACCATTGGAAACCTGGAAGCACTGGACGGCTGTTTCGTCCTATTGTAGGACTCCTCAGTAGTGCGCATCCACGATCCCACTCGCGGGATTCGAACTCAAGGCTTTCAGTCTCGCGTGCGAACGCTTAACCTACTGGACCACTGAGCCGGCATCCAATGATGTTAATGTCTAACTTCAACCAATCCACGAAGTTACGTGACCATCTTGCATTGTACTGAGGTAGACACCTGTTTCTACCCGACATGGATTAGCTCCATTGGTCACAGCTTCTCACCAGAACTCTGAGAATTTTCTCACAAAGCTAGGCACTCGTGAGCACATGGTCCAGCGAGAGGGATCGTGGATACGCACTGCTGAGGGGTCTCCCAATAGGACGATCTCAATCAAAAATAAATATATATTATATGTTGTATTGAATGCTAAGTTTCAAATGTAGATAATTGTAGTAATCTCAGCGATTGAAATTTAAATAATTCCAACGTTTTGTCCAACAAACTTGTCTGAACTTCTTCAGGGCAATAATCAATCCAGTCTGTCCAATTTGTTTCGGTCTTTTGTCTAGTTGTATATTGTACTTGTAAGGTATTATTCATATGCTGTAAAAGATTTTCCTTTCATTCCTCACTTGTGTAATCAATAGAAGTTTAGACTACTCATGAGTTAAGGGATTGATCTATATAGATAAAATACATATAACCTATTTTTTGTCTTTGTCTAGATCTAAACTTATTATTATTATCATCATCATTTGTTTCTATTCGGTCTGTATTCCTTAAAATAACTTTGATTTTCCCATGTTTTCATTGATTCCTAATTTCATTTTGGGAATATTTTACTAAAATTCTTTAAAGTTTTAATTGTTTAAGAATTCTATAAAAGAATATATAATTGATGATACTTATCATGGACTACTGATATTACATACAGTGATAATGAAATCCAGGTAAAAATAACATTTTTTTCATTTGATAGAAAGTTTACTGTAGTTTAAATGATTTACTGAAGATCTAGTGATATATCACAACTCTTCGAATTTATTTATATGAAGAGTGATGAAATTACTCGCCTATACGGATTAAACTTAAATAAAAGCCAATAAATGGTTGTATTCTCTGACAATTCTCTGAAACTAGTCAAATTCACATCTAGAAGCCTCACGATAATGCACAAAACAAGTCCATACATCCTCCCTCTATGCCATGTTCACAGAAATAGGTCATACAAGGATGAGTAAGACTACTTTCACAAATTTTCTCCTGTTCTTACATACTTTCAATATGCCTCTTTACTCTTACGTAATTCTATTATAATCAGTCTTTCAACAATATATTATAACTGTTATCAACAATTTTTTAACTGCTCCTTAATTACTTCATTTTTTTAATGTGGTTGGCGTACTTTAGCAAGGTTTTTTCTACGGATGGGGTTACCGATTCTGTGCCCAACCTTCATCCTTTACCGTGGCTTGGAACCGGCAGTAACTCTAGTAGGGCTCCAGGATGTGAGAACTATCATCAATGAACAAGAAGGATATGGATGCAGATGGAAAGGCTAGGATTGGCAAAGCAAGGGCCGCATTCCTACAATTGAAGAACATATGCAACTCAAAACCACTTTCAACCAATATCAAATTTGGAGATGAAAATAGTCCAGGTATTTATAAACAACTGTCTACACAAGATACTCAATATCCGTTGGCCGGATATGATCAGCGACAGCCTACTATGGAAGAGAGCAAACGAGCTTTCTTGTGAAGAGGAACTCAGAAAAGCCGATGGAAGTGAATAGGAGATACATTGTAGAAATCACCAAACTACAACACGAGGTGAGCTGTAATTCGGAATCCTGAAAGAAAGTGTAATAAAGGAAGGTCAAAGGACACATTATGTCGGGAAACAGAAGCAGATATGAACATGATGATTAACAACTGGAAAGGATTGCAGAGAACAGGGTCAGGTGGACAGTGCTGGTTGGCGGCCTAGGCTCTTCCACGAGAAGTAACAGGCGTAAGTAGGTAAGTAAATAATTATTTCACCAATTCTATTGTCATCAGTCCCTAAACCACGTATTCCGATTCGTTCATTTGTTAATGTACATCTTTGAATATTTTTCACCGTGTCAATATCAACCTATAATTATTTGGTTAAACATTCACAATTCTTTTCATAAATACTTGAATTTGCATCAGCAGTGATTATCCATAAGTCTGTTTCCTTCATCTGTTTCAAACGGAACTCCATTGTATGTTGGATTACGATTAGTAAATTTCATTTAGTGAGCAAACCACAGCAAGACTAAACTAACTATGGTAATTGGCAACCCAGTTATTACCATTGTGATATGTCACTTTCTCCTCAATTGTGTCTGTATTTGAATAACACTGCTAATAATATTATCGTTAACCTAAGTGGTTACAAATGATCAATGGCAAGGTTTATCAACGTACTCGATGAAGTCAAAAGTTACTCAATCTACAAATATCCGTCTTTGTCCGATGTTTCAGTGATCAATATCAATTTAAATTATTCGCCACTTGATTACGTAAACTTAAACTACAATTCTTACTGCTGCCTAAACTTTTATCATTTTATTAACAGACTACTTAAATTTTATTTAAGTAGCTTAAATTAGCTTCAAATACTATTTTTGTGTTGGTTGTGTAGATCTTCAATTGCTGTTTAGATCTGTAGTTGATCAGTCTTATTGGCATAGTGTATTCTGTGAAGATTGCCTCGATAATGCCTGAAGTCACGAGCATTACACACAGAGATAGATGGTGGATAGCATTGGAATCCAGGACGCACGTTTCGTTTTATTTAAGGGTCGTCAGCTGGATGTACCTGCATCGCTGAGTTGATGTTCACTCTAGGATTCAAACCCAGTACCGTTTGTTTCGAATGTCATCTCGTTATCTACTTAGCTACTGAGTCAAGATAGCCACTAGCTTATGCAATGGGGCAGTTGAATGGATAAATGGATGGTATTTGAAGTAAACGGTATTCATTTCGAGTCCCGGAGTGTGCAACAACACTGTAATGCAGTTACATCCAGCTGATGAGTCCTAAATAGGAAGAAATGCGCGTCCTTAATTCCATTACTAATCACCATCCATCACTGTGATTAAGCTTACAAATTAATTATAAATAGTAAATTGATTTTTTTTTAAAATTCGAGTCAAAATAATTAGAGTATTTAATATTTGATGGTTTGTAATAATTTTTCCCATTACCATGATATTTTGTGATCAAGTGGTGTAACAATAATTGAATGGTTGGAATTCTGTTGAATTTTCATGTGTATTGGAATTTCAGAATTAAAAGTTTGTTCCAGATTAGAATAGTCCGTTTACAATAGACAGGTAGGTATATAGATAGATAAAATGAGAATTTGCATGAGTGAGACTGGAAAAGCGTTGTAGGTATAATGTTTATCAGAAATTCAATGAAGCCTTCATACATCTGAGCTGTCTATGCAGTCCCATTGAGATGTAGATAGTTAGTTGATATCTCTGTACTTTGGTTTTAAGTAGTTCAAATTCATCAAACAAGGTGTTTCTGTAGTCTTTATGAAAGTTTTCATAATAGTGGGATCCATGTTATCTAGTGTGTACAGTCAGTGATATTACCACTGGATAGACATCCAATTACGATAAATGTAAACTCGTACGAAATGTATGTCTAAGAGTCTGCATAAATTAATCCCAAGTGTCAAACAGAAAACAATATGCACTATGAAGTACTCAAAATATTCGGTGTTTATTCATTTGTATTGGTTATTATTAATGGTTACTTCAAATGCATCTTGGTACTTCAACAGGAAAACTGTGAATCAAAACGTACAGGCATAAACACAAAGACTGTAGGCAAGGGCGGAATCAAAAGGTCAGTGAGATACGTGAGAATCAGGAGAGGAGCTGACATAGATTCTGATCAACGTCTACCTGGTGGTTGCCAAGATGAAATTGAAAAAATAATCACTGGCCAACTAGGGAGGCAGCATTACAGATGATCAATAGGGTCGTCCTTGGACATACTGACAAACTCGATCAATTCAAGATCGATCTCAACAACAGGTTACAAGCCTTACAAGATCTACTAAATGAAGAGAAAACTACTATGTAGGGCAGCCGGAAAGGAATCAAAGGAGCATTAACTTCGACGTGTCAGAAGATGCTGGGCCGCAACCATCATCAAATGGAATGGATTCCATCAAAACCCTGAACAGAATTCAATAAAGGAAGAACAAGAGGACAGCAATTAACCACAGTCGAACAAAAACAGATAAAATCAAAGCACACATCAAATACAAAGAAGCAGACAAGATAATCAGAGCTGATAAATGGAAATACTTAAAAAAAACTTATCAACGACAGTGGAGAAAGCTACAAGAGAAGAAAAAATAAAACAATTTTATGATACAACGAAGAAACTGTTAGGAAAATCTAGTAAATCAGAGAGACCGGTCAAGGACAAAGAACACAAGCGAATCACTGAGATCCAAGGACAG